TATTATTATTATTATTATTATTATTATTAAAAAACCGTGGCATAGACACAGAGAATTGAGTGATCTAACTGGAGGTCAGTTGTGACCAGCAGTGCTGTAGAATTTGAAGAGGCATGAAAGAGCGAATCATGCCAAGAGGAAGGCACATCAAACCAACCCTGACCAGGACTGCCTTCCATGTGGAAACCAATGTCGTGGGAGAACATGCGGATCAAGAATAGGGCTCCACAGCCAAATCAAAACAAGGCATTGCACAGTGTGAGACGTTAAAGCCAGAATTTTTAATTACAGTTTGGAGCATTCATCAGACTGTTACTTTTTTTTTTCAAAGGAAAAGAACATGATGAGGTTGACTAAAGACATTCGTCCCAACATCCAGAACACTTAAAGCAAAAAAAAAAAAAAAAAAAAGGGGGGGGGGAATGTGCAATTTTTGCCTAGGTTTTTAGGAAAATTGTTTGTTGCTACTGCTGCAAAATTAATTTTTTTAAAAAAATATATAAAATAAAAATAAAAAGTGCAGAAGCTTCACAAATGGTTGTCCCCCCACCACCATCCAAGATCCAAAACCACAGCTTGTCCTGGGGATAAACAAGCACCTTTTGGCTCTCGGTGGACTGAACGCAGTCAGTTCAGGACCCTGGAGAGTGATCTGTCAACCCTCCAACTGCCTCACATTTAGCATAATCTTGCGCCCTCTGGACACCTTTCTAATTTTATCTAGTCCTGCCATTCCTACAATTTGTTTTCACAAAATGGCCAAAGCACAACTGCTTCGCTGTTCCGTTTTCAAAACAGCGTTCCTTTTTCGATCATCACGCTTTTTCGCTTCCTCTTCTTTTCTTATCAAAACACTCGGTCGAACTCCGTCTGATTGGTCGCGGTCGTATTCCTGCACTGATTGGCCGGCTGCTGGGGCATGTGCCCGCCCCTCCTCCGGGGCGGAGCCAGGTACTCGAACATGGATTGGTTGTGGGTGGAGAGCATGTTCTTGAGGTCGGAGGGCATTGGGTCGGACCAGAAGAAATCGTGGTTCAAGGCGTCGTCGCTATCTATCCTTTGGGCCGGGTCCAGGACCAGCAGTTTATCAATCAGGTCCAGTGCATAAGGGTCTTTGACGTAGGCTTTGAGCCGCTCCTTGACCTTGCGCTTTTGTCCTTTGGGCAGCTCCAGCTTCTGGTAGAGCTCGTATTTATCCACGTTGGGCCAGACCTAAGTAGAAACCAAGGAGAAAAAGGTGGTACAGGGTGACAAAGGCAAGGACAAACAGACAGAGAGACAGCTTTCATCCTAGAGCTGTAACTTTATGGCTTTGCATTGATGTGGCATTGGGGGACTGTGCTATGGTGGCTTGCGACATGCTCGTATACTTTGGAAGGAAGCTAGTCAGAGATGAAATACTAAGAGAAAATGCCAAGACCAATCTATATAAATAAAAATGTAATGTTAGTTCGTGCTACCATCAGAACTCAAAAACCACTGGGGGAATTGACACCAAATTTGGGCACAAGACACCTTACAGTCCAATTTATGTCTTCCACTCAAAAAAATTGATTTTGTCATTTGGGAATTGTGGTTGCTGGGATTTATAGTTTACCCACAATCAAAGAGCATTCTGAACTCCACCAATGATGGAATTGGGCCAAACTTAGCACACAGGGCTCCCATGACCAACAGAAAAAACTGGAAAGCTTTGGTGGACATTGACCTTGAGTTTGGGAAGTTGTAGTTCAACTATATCCAGAGACCACAGTGGACTCAAACAATGATGGATCTGGACAAAACTTGGCACGAGTATTCCATATGCCCAAATATGAACACAAATGGAGTTTAAGGGAAATAGACCTTGACATTTGGGAGTTGTAGTTGCTGGGATTTATAGTTCACCTACGATCAAAGAGCATTCTGAACTCCACCAATAATGGAATTGAACCAAACATGGCATACAGGACTTCCATGACAAACAGAACACACTGGAAGGTTTGGTGGGTATTGGCCTTGAGTTTGGGAGTTGTAGTTCACCTACATCCAGAGAGCACTGTGGACTCAAACAATGATGGATCTGGACCAAACTTGACACAAAAATTCCATATGCCTAAATATGAACACAGATGGAGTTTGGAGGAAATAGAACTTGACATTTGGGATTTGTAGTTACTGGGATTTATAGTTCACTACAATTAAAGAGCATTCTGAAACCCACAAACAACAGAAATGGGGCAAACTTCCCACACAGAACCCCCATGACCAACAGAAAATACTTAAGGCCATCCAGTCCAACTTTCTTCATTTTGAAGTTTTGGCGTTATGGAAGTTTTGGAACTATGCATTGGCAGGCTGCAGGAAAGCAGGGTCTGGCCTAAGAGGTGCTTCTCCAAGGAGGGAGAAAAGGATGTGGTAATATTTTGGATGCATGTGGATGAATGCGTGTACATGTGTGTGAATGTTGAGTGAAAATGTAATTCCCCTTTGTTTGTTTGTTTGTTCTGTATGTCTGTACGTCCAATGCCATTGTTTGTCTAAATGTTTTTTGTAATCTGATATACTGCATGCCTCGTCCTCCTCCCGGCATAAGGATGGTACGAGCAGTCTTATTTTTATACTGAGAGGATGGCCCAAGGAAGGCACACAGCAGCTGAGAGCCCTCTGGAGCACTCTCAGCCACTGCATGTCTCATCCTCCTCCCAGCATTAGGACAGGGCGAGTGGCTCTGTGCTTACACTGAGAGGATGGCCCAAGGAAGGTATGTAGCGTCTAAGAGCCCTCTGGAATGCTCTCAGCCATCGCCACATGTCTCGCCCTCCCCCCAGCATAAGGACAGCATGAGGAAGGCACACAGCAGCACAGAGCCGTCTGGAGTGCTCTCAGACGTTGTTTGTCTCGCCCTCCTCCTGTCATAATGCTGTGAGGACAGTCCATAGATGGAGGGAGGAGGATCAGGGCAGTTGCTACATGTCTCGCCCTCCTCCTGGCATAAGGATGGTGTGAGCGGCCCTGTCCTTATGCTGGGAGGATGGCCTGAGGAAGGCAAGCAGTGGCTAAGAGCACTCTCAGCCGTGGCCTATCTCACCCTCCTCCCGGCATAATGCTGAGAGGACAACCCAAAGATCAGGACAGTCACAACATGTCTCGCCTCCCGGCATAAGGTTTGATTGATTGATTGATTGATTGAAAACATTTATATTCCGCCTTTCTCGCCCCGAAGGGGACTCAGGGCGGAGCACAGCATATACACGGCAAACATTCAACACAAATTCACATACACAAACATAAAAAAATTTATCAAAATATTAAAATACACCATTTAAAACTGTCCTAGACATCCGGGTCAAATCTAATTGGCCCTGTCATCTTTCCCACTGCCACTTTATTGCCCTGTCCTGAAAGCTTGATATTTCTTTGTACAGTATGTAGTTAAAACATTTACTTGTGGTTTTGCATGTTGTAGACATAAATTGGACTATTCTGAAAGAGCTTTAGACAAAAAGGGTTTAAAGACTATGGGCCGCTACTAGTAACTATCATTAGTACTAATATTTTATCGGCAATGTGAAAGCAGAACTTGGATAAGGTATCTTTTTTGGATGACAACTCCAGTGATTCCTCTGCTAGACCCAGACTGCATAAATCCCATATTTGGATTTATCAAACAGAAAAAAATCCTAGAAGGTGTCTGTGCAGAAGTCATTGTTATTATGTTTGTGTTTAACTGTTAAAAGAGTTTTTACCATCCTTCTAAAGGACAGGAGGGAGGGGGCCGACCTGATCTCACCAGAAAGGGAGTTCCATAGCCGGGGAGCAATCACTGAGAAGGCCCTGTCTCTCGCCCCCCCCCCCCTCCAATCGCGCGTGTGACAATGGCGGGACAGAAAGCAGGACCTCCCTGGAGGATCTTACTCTCCGCAATGGTACATAAGGAGAGATGCGTTCAGGCAGGTAATTTGGGTAATTTGGATGGTGCGAGTGGCCCTGTCCTTATGTGGGAGGATGGCCCGAGGAAAGCATGCAACGGCTGAAAGCCCTCTGGAGCACTCTCAGCCATTGTCTCTCTCGCCCTCCTCCCGGCATAAGGATTGAGCGAGCAGCCCCAACTTTATGCCAGGTCAACCTGAAGATGGATTGGGCCCTGCCTTGCCTCCTCCCAGGCCCACCCTATACAGTCCTTGTCCCACCCAGTATACGCCTGGCTGGCCTCTCTCCTGGCTCAACCCTCTTGGTCGGGCCCCAAGGCAAAAAGTTTGCTCATTCCTAGTCTACCAGCTGTTAGGAATTGTGGGAGTTGAAGTCCAAAACACTTGGAGGGAGTACCAAAGTTTGCCCATGTCTGGCATAGACTTTATGTCCTTTGCATTCACACAAATAAATACAATCTCAAACAGTATAAAAGAGCAACGTATCATCGAGAATGCGACATGCGATTTATTCAGAGATCTCTTTGCTTTTAAACCCTTAAAAAACCCCGAGCGCTTACATCAGGAGTGATGGATCCACAGAGCTGGCTGATGAGAGTGAGCTGGTGCTGTTCTGTGTTGCCCTGCATGATGGGGCTCCGGGTCCACATCTCGGCCATGATGCACCCCGCGCCCCAGAGATCAATGGGCGGCCCGTAATCCCGCTCTCCTAAACAGAAGAATGTCTTGTTAAAATTAGGGCAAAAGCAGAGCTGGGCCAACTTGCTCCGGGAAAGCTAACCATTCCAGTGACACCGAATCATGTTGCTTGCAGGTTCCATTTGAAATGTCAACATGACCCTTTGAAATCCTGAGAGTAATGGGCACTGCCCATTTGTACTTCATGGAACCCCCTCTGGCCTATACACCACCTTTGCAACACATGAATCCCCACAGCAACCAAGCTGAATGCTGAAGTGTTGCTGAAGGCTTTCATGGCCAGAATCAGTGGGTTGCTGTGAGTTGTCTGGCCATGTTCTAGAAGCATTCTCTCCTGACATTTCAACCACATCTATAGCAGGCATCCTTAGAGGAGATGGGACCCTTAGGAGAGCTCTTCTGTCGTGAGACTTGGGTAGGGCTTTATATTTCTAACCAGCCTTGAGATGACGTAAAACCTCAATAATAATAATGTGAAGGAGCCCGTATATTACTGCTACTAATTGTAAAGACTTGGCCACTAATTTGTAATGATGCCACCAAATTGTAAGGATGTATAAATATAACTACTATCAATATGTAGAGAGTTGTAAGGTCTTATTATATTGATGACATATTATATTGTAATGTTGCTTTGGTCTTTCTTCAATATGTAGCGTGACTTGACTTGGAAAGGAATGGTAACATAGGCTTGACTTTAAAAAGAAACTGTAACAAGTTTATTGAGGTACAGAAACTTGATGGTTTCAAAGTTTCCTTTCTCTTAAGAGGTACAGATCTTCAAAGGTTACATTTATAACAATTCATAAATAACTCTTAGGAGGACTAATTCTTTTAGCAAACAGGTCTCAACTTAGTTCCTTTAAAAAGATGTTTCTTTCTTTAACCGTTTGTCTCAGGCACACGCTTATCCTCTCTATATGATGGCTCTGTTACAATAAAGATGCTTATTAGTGCTTCCCCTTTTCCACAACCATTACTTTTAATATAAATAAGTCGCCCGAATTATCTAAACTATATTGGCTCAAAGCCAAAACCTTCCTGATTCTTAATACCAAAGAATCAGCCTTCCTCTGTAATTCTTTGACTACAGAATCCTCACTGGTTCTCCACACACAACAGAACCAGCCACTTCTGCAGTTCACCGACCACAGACTGACTGCTTTAAAATGGCTGCCCTGCCAAGTGGCTTGGTCACTAATTTGTAATGATACCACCAAATTGTAAGGATGCATAAATATAACTGCTATCAATATGTAGAGAGTTGTGAGGGCTTATTATATTGATGACACAACCAATAGCTTGTAATGTTGCTTTGGTCTTTCTTCAATATGTAGCGTGACTTGACTTGGAAAGGAATGGTCACATAGGCTTGACTTTAAAAAGAAACTGTAACAAGTTTATTGAGGTACAGAAGCTTGATGGTTTTAAAGTTTCCTTTCTCTTAGAGGTACAGATCTCCATAGCAACTCAGCTCAAACCGAGCTAAGCTGGCTACCATCCCCCAATATCTATAACAATACATAACTATAGATAAAAATTTACACTTCATCACTAATAATAATCATCATAATACTTTATTTATACCCCGCCACCATCTCCCCAAGGGACTCGGGAGTGGCTTACATTAGGCCAAGCCCAACAACACATCAATAAAAACAAAAAGCAATAAACAAAACAATAAATATAATTAATATAAATCACATATAAACAATAACCAATTAACAGTAACACACATGGATTTAAAAACCTATGGCCGGGCCAAATGTGATAATTTAAAAATTTTAAAAATAAACGCTGGGCATGAACAAGGCAGGATATATCTGGTATAGGGTTTTAAAAGAGATGAGGGAGCGCAATCAATCCTAAACCAGTAGTAAAGTGCATTCTGAGGACATATTGCTGGGAAAACCTTACTCCTCCCAATGTGTGAACTGGCAGTGCCAAAGGCCACAAAAGGGTTTGTCATCCACCGAACGCTCTTGACCCACCTAGAAGGAGCTCAGGAGGCCGGTACCACAGAGTCACCACCCGGTTGGTATAGCGGTTGGGCTGGCTGTTCTTTGCCAAGCTGAAAGCACGAGCCAAGCCAAAGTCGGCCAGTTTCAGGACCCCGTCCCGAGTGATGAGGACATTGGCCGCTTTCATGTCCCTGTGCAAGATCTGGAGGAGAAGAAGAGCAAAGGGATTGAAGAGAGACCCTTCCTAAGGAGCCATAAAGTGGGCAGACCTGGAGGGAGCTCTCCTCACCTTGTTCCGGTGGATGTAATAGAGGCCATTCAAGAGCATTTGCATCACTTTCTTGATCTCAGAGAGGGTGAATTTGACATGGGCGTTGCTGAGGAGGCCAGCCAAGTCATGCTCACAGAAGTCAAACACCAGGTAGATGCTCCCCTTGCAACGGTTGTACGGAGAGGCTACGGAACCAAAGAGAAGAAGTAGCTGAAAACCAGGGACAAACTCAACACAACTTTTCATAGAATCATCTATATAAATAAAAACGTAATGTTCGTTTGTGGGATTAACATAACTCAAAAACCACTGGACAAATTGCCGCCAAATTTGGCCACAAGACACCTACTAACTCAAGGAGCGACCATCACTCAAAACATTTGATTTTGTCATTTGGGAGTTGTAGTTCACCTAAAATCAAAGAGCATTTTGAACTCCACCAATAATGGAATTGAACCAAACATGGCACACAGGAGTCCCATGACCAACAGAAAACACTAGAAGGGTTTGGTGGGCATTGACCTTGAGTTTGGAAGTTGTAGTTCACCTACAGCCAGAGAGCACTGTGGACTCAAACAATGATGGATCTGGCCTTACTTGGCACGAATATTCCATATGCCCAAATATGAACACAGAAGGAGTTTGGGGGGAATAGACCTTCACATTTGGGAGTTGTAGTTGCTGGGATTTATAGTTACACATAACTAATGGTTACCTTTAGTCCGACAGATCTCAATGAGATTCACCACATTTTCATGCTTCAGCAGCTGGAGGATCTTGATCTCCCGCAGGGCCGTGATAGGAAACTTGAAAGGAGGAAGAAAAAGTGTCAGGAGGCTTGGTTCCACCAACATTATCCAGCTGTTTTGGACTACAAAGCCCAAAAGCATCCTTTTAGGCTTATCTAATTTATTGTTCCTTCTCCTGGCCATGCAAACTAGGGCTTCTGGGAACTGGAGTCTCATCAGATCATAGGTTTTAGGACCTGGCTCAAGGGCTTTTAATAAGTTGCTGCTCCACTGATTTCTCTCTTTTGCCTTTAAACTGATTCAATCTAAATAAGGCATGGGCAAACCTTAGCCCTCCAGGTGTTTTGGACTTCAACTTCCACCATTCCTAACAGCCGGTAGGCTGTTAGGAATGATGGGAGTTGAAGTCCAAAACACCTGGAGGGCCAAAGTTTGCCCATGCCTGATCTAAATACCATATTTTCCGACGCACTAGGCAACTGGGTGCATGACGACCCTCCAACTTTTCAATTTAAAACTTCAATTTTTGGATATACTTGCCCTATTAGACTACCCCTCTTGGCAGCCACTTCGGGTCCCACAGCCTCCTTTCCTGGGCTTTGAGGCTCCATAGAGGTGGCCTCTCCCCCATCGGCAGCCAAGCCACACCACAGCCAGCAAACCGCCGTGCTCACCACTTTGGGTCCAAAACATCACTTCCTGTTTTGGATCCAAAACAAGATGGAGGCTCCTAACAGGCAAGGGAGGTATGCAGCTGCCCTGCGCTGGAGCAAGGTGCCTGAAGCAGCAGCAGCAGCTACGCTCCTCCAGCGCCGCTTGTCTCCCACTGCTGGGCTTCAGCCTCATCGAGGGGCTCTTCCACTCTATACCCACCTTGGCTGTCAGTGCGGTGGCAGAGGAGGAGGCAATATACTCGCCGGATGGCTGTGTCACCTCCTCCTCCTCCGCACCGACAGCCGAGGCGGGCCTGGAGTAGAAGAGCCCCTCGGTGTAACTGAAGCTCAGCAACGGGAGACAAGCGGCGCCGGAGGGCAGCCCTCGAGTTCCGCTTGTCTCCCGCTGCCAGACTCAACTTTACTGAGAGGCTCCTCCACTCCAGGCCCGCCTTGGCTGTCAGTGCAGCAGTGGCGGAGGAGGAGTTGATGCAGCCGTTTGGCAAGTATATCGCCTCCTCTGCCGCACTGACAGCCGAGGCAGGCCTGGAGTGGAAGAGCCCCTCGGTGAAACTGAAGCTCAACAGTGGGAGGCAAGTGGAACCCCAGGGCTGCCCTCCGGTGCCACTTGTCTTCTGCTGCTGAGCTTCAGTTTCACCAAGGGGCTCTTGCACTCCAGGCCCGCCTCGACTGTCCGTGCGGTGGCGGAGGAGGAGATGGCGCGGCCATCCGCAAAGTATATTGCCTCCTCCTTTGCCGCCGCACAGACAGCCAAGGTGGGCAAAGAGTGGAAGAGCCCCTCAGTGAAACTGAAACTCAGCAACAGGGACAAGCGGCGCCTGACCCCCTCCCTGTCCAGGGACGACCTAGCTACGGTGATCCAGGCTACGGTCATCTCAAGACTGGACTACTGTAACACCCTCTACATTGGCCTTCCTCTGTCGGTGATCCGGAAGCTCAAGCTGGTACAAAACGCAGCTGCTCAGCTTCTTGCGGGAATTCCAATGAGATGCCACATAACATCAAACTTAGTTACCCATTGAGCACCGGATCACTTTCAAAGTGATGGTACTCACCTTTAAGGCCTTGCATGGTCTGGGGCTGATGTACCTGAGGGACCGCTTCACCCCCTACCAACCCCAGAGATCCCTCCGTTCTGAGGACCAAGATCTATTGGAAATTCCCAGTGTCAAGACCTTGCGTCTAACAGCAACCAGACGCAGAGCCTTCACAGCAGTGGCACCATCACTCTGGAATACTCTGCCACCTGAAGTCCGTGCCTTGCGGGACCTATCAGCTTTCCGCAGGGCATGTAAGACATACCTGTTTCGGAAGGCCTTTGATCTCTGACATTGTTGTTTTAAATTGTTTTTAAATTGTGTTAGATTTTAGCCTGTTCTTGTAAGCCGCTCCGAGCCCCAGAGGAGTGGCGGCATATAAGTCTGAATTATAAATAAATAAATAAATAAATAAATAAAGGAGGTCGATATCTCAGGGTACCGTACATTCAACTTACCATCCACTAAATCAAAGACCCTTGGTCGCCCAAAGGGGGGGTTGGCTATAGCCATTTCATTAAATATAGCTGCCTCCAGTTTAACAAATCTTCCACCATTGGCACAAGCAGTCCGGTTAACTTTTGCAACCAGAAAAATACTATTTGTTAACACCTATATCCCAAGCAGCCTGGGAAAAAATGAAACAGCTACTTACTGGGACAAATTAACATCCTACATACTAGATTTAAAGTCCAAGAATCCCTCTTGTGATTCTATTATAGCGGGAGACTTTAATGCTAGGGTAGGGTCTAGTCTTGTGAACCTGATGAGAGAAGAGGGCCTGGATGAAGACCCCTTCTACTCTTTACTAACTCCAGAAGCCCGACACTCTAAAGACCAAGTATGCAACCAAGCCGGGAAATGCTTGATCAAAATGGCCACGCAGCTCAACCTGTTTTGGTTAAATGGGCTTATTCAATTTCCCAACTCTGATGAATATACCTTTGTGTCTTCGAGAGGCACCGAGGAGCTCTTCCACTCCAGGCCCGCCTCGGCTGTCTGTGCGGCGGCGGAGGAGGCAACACGGCCATCCAGTGAGTATATTGTCTCCTCCTCCGCTGCCACATGGACAACCAAGGTGGGCAAAGAGTAGAAGAGCGCCTTGGTGAGGCTGAAGCCCAGCAGCGGGAGACAAGTGGTGCTGGAGGAGTGCAGCAGCTGCTGATGCTTTGGGTGCCCCACTCCAGCGCAGGGCAGCCGCCCGCCTCCCTCGCCTCGACCCAAAACAGGAAGTGATTTTTTATTCCTGGTGTATTAGACGACCCCCAAGTTCAGCAAGGATTTTCCAGGGTTAAAAAGTCATCTTTACGCCGGAAAATACGGTAGTTTGCACTCTCTTTCTATGCCCTTTTATCTGTATGCATTTTGTTTTTTTAAGACATTTTTGCACCTGGCTTTTTTGCAGAAATAGCAGGACACCAATGAATTCGTAAGCCAAACTTCCTTTTCCCAACCCCAAAGCTGCAAACTTACCCCTTCCTTTTCATTCTCCATCAACACTTTCTTCAGAGCCACTTTCTTCCCAGTCTGCCGGTGCTTTGCTTTAAACACCTCCCTGGAGAGAAAAAGGAAAGAATCTCTACCATTTGCAAAGGAGGAGTGTGACAAATCCTCCAGGTGTTTTGGACTTCAGCTCCCACAATTCCTAGCAGCTTTGGAGGGACCAAGTTTGTCCATGCCTGTTCAAGAGAATCTGGAAAATCCAAGGCCAACCAACAGTCAACAGCCAGGCTGTTCCAGAACATCTGTTGCTGGGAGACCAACAACAATGAAGGAAGGACCCACTCTTACATCCAGCCCTTGGCTTCACAATCTGCTTGGATGTTATTGGAAAGACGGGATGCGGAAGGAAAGAGATTCAGCGTGAGTTTCTATTCCCAACTGAAGAACGGGAAACGTCATGTTGGTGGACAGGAAAACAGACTTAAAGGTGGGCTTAAAGCCAACCTGAAAAACTGTGGCATAGACACCGAGAGAGAACTGGGAAGCCCTGGCCCTTGAGCACTGTAACTGGAGGTCAGCTGTGACCAGCAGTGCTGCAGAATTTGAAGAGGCACGAATGGAGGGCGAAAGGGAGAAATGTGCCAAGAGGAAGGCACATCAAGCCAACCCTGACCGGGACCACCTCCCATCTGGAAACCGATGCCCTCTACTTTAATTCCCAGTATTTTTTTTTTCAAAAACTTATCCTGACCTTTTTAGTTCAGGGGGTGCTGTGGGTGGGATTGTGTGAGTTTCACATACCATTTCAGTATGTGTGTGTGTGTGTATATATATTATATTTTAATATTTTTTTTAACCACACAGCTACCATTTAATTGCTTTTGAATTGCCTTTTAACTTTTGTATTGCACATTTTAAACTTGTCTAGTGTGTATAGTAAAGGACACAGAGTCCACCCTCAGATAATGTGGGATTTCCTGTATTTTGTTTTGTTTTTTGGTCGTGTCAGGAGCGACTTGAGAAACTGCAAGTCGCTTCTGGTGTGAGAGAATTGGTCATCTGCAAGGACATTGCCCAGGAGACACCCGCATGTTTTGATGTTTTACCATCCTTGTGGGAGGCTTCTATCATGTCCCCGCATGAGGAGCTGGAGCTGATAGAGGGAGCTCATCTACACTCTCCCCGGATTCGAACCTGCGACCTGTCGGTCTTCAGTCCTGCCGGAACAGGGATTTAACCCACTGCGCCATTGAGGACTCCTATTTCCTGCCTTGATATTCTGGGATATGGCTGTGTGAAAGGGCCCTCAGTCGTTAGACTGATATACCTGGATATCTCTCTGAACTGTTAGGAACAAAGTTATGCCAATGCAAATATATAAATAGCAGATCTTCAGAAGTGTTATTTCAGTTGTCCAAAAACGTTCCCATCTATATAAATGAAAATGTAATGTTCTTTTGTGGGATTAACATAACTCAAAAACCACTGGATGAATTGACACCAAACTTGGACACAATACACCTATTAGGCCAACAAGTGACCGTCAGTCATAAAAACACTGAAAAACACATCAGAAAAGACTTTAAAAGGAAAATAAATAAATAAAAATTACAACGCATGCGCAAAACCACATATATCTATCTATATAAAAATGCTCTGTGCGTAATGAGTACCTTAAAAATAACAAAACTATGGGGCCAAATGACCCTAAATTTGGCAACAAATCTCCTCACAATCCAAGGAGTGACAATCACTGAAAATAACCCTACAAAAACACCTTTAAATTCAAAAAAGGAAGATGACAACACACCTCCTCTGCCCCCCCCCCCCCATGCTGAGGAAACTATATATTACTATATTAAATAGACTCATAGAATAGAGTTAGAAGGGAGTCTACCATGGTATTGGGGGAAAACAGACAGGAAGGAAGGAGAGAAGAAAGGAGGGAAGGAAAAAGGGAAGGAATGTAGGAGAGAAAGGGGGAAGGAGGAAAGGAAGGAAGGAAGAGGAGAAAAGGAGGAGGGAAAGAAGAAGAGGGAAGGAAGGGGAAGGAAGGGAGAGAAGGAAGGAAATAAAAAGGTAACGAAGGAAGAAGAGAAAGAGGAGAGAGGAAAGAAAAGGGGGAGGAAAGGCAGGAAAGAGGTAAAGAAGGAAGGAAGGAGAAAAGGAGATAAAAAGTGAAAGAAGGAAGGAAACAGGGAGGGAAGAAGGGAGACAAAGAAGTAGAAAAAGAGGGAGGGAAAGAAGGAAAGAGAGAAGGAAGGATGAAACCAAAGAGCGAAAGAAGGAGTGAAAGAAAGAGGTAGAGAAGGAAGAAAGGAGAGAAATGGGAAGGGGAAAAAAGCCGGGGGGGGGGGGGAGGTAGGTACCTCTCTTTCATAATAATCCAGATATCTACCTCTACTTCGAAAATTCTTACTATAGGCCACAGCAACGCGTGGCAGGGCACAGCTAGTAAACACATACACAAATATACACACACATAAACACACACACACAAAATACATATACACAGACTGGGCCACAGCAATGTGTGGCAGGGGACTGCTAGTAAAATATATTTATATTTCTAGAGCTGTGTGGAAGGGCTCTCAGTGGTTAGACTTCTTTTTTTTGTCGTGTCAGGAGTGACTTGTGAAACTGCAAGTTGCTTACGGTGTGAGAGAATTGGTTGGCTGCAAGGACGTTGCCCAGGGGACGCCCGGATGATTTTTGATGTTTTAATCATCCTTGTGGGAGGCTTCTCTCATGTCCCCGCATGAGGAGCTGGAGCTGATAGAGGGAGCTCATCCGCACTCTCCCTGGATTCAAACCTGTGACCTGTCGGTCTTCAGTCCTGCCGGCACAGGGTTTAACCCACTGAACCACTGGGGGCTCCGAGTGGTTAGACTGATATACCTGATATTTCTCTGAACTATTAGGAACAAAGTTACGCCAATGCACAAAATATATAGCAGATCTTTAGAAGTGTTATTTCAGTTGCCCCAAAACATTTACTCTCTCATACAATATATTTATATTTCTAGGGCTGTGTGGAAGGACCTCCAGAGCTGGAGAAGGGAGAAAGTAGAATTGTAGAATGCAGTTGGAAGAGATCCCATGGGCCGTCTAGTCCAACCCCCTTCTGCCATGCAGGAAAAGCACAATCAAAGCACCGCCGAAGCAGATGGCCACCCAGCCTCAATATTATTATTATTAGTAGTAGTAGCAGCAATAATAATAATAATAATAATAATAATAATAATAATAATAATGGAGTTGGGAGAGGCCCCATGGGCCACCCAGTCCAACTTCCGCCATGCAGGAAAAGCACAATCAAAGCACCACCAGCAGATGGCCACCCAGCCTCAATATTATTATTATTATTATTAGTAGTAGTAATAGTAGCAGCAGCAGCAATAATAATAATAATAATGGAGTTGGGAGAGGCCCCATGGGCCATCCAGTCCAACTTCCGCCATACAGGAAAAGCACAATCAAAGCACCACCAGCAGATGGCCACCCAGCCTCAATATTATTATTATTAGTAGTAGTAGCAGCAATAATAATAATAATAATAATAATAATAATAATAATAATAATGGAGTTGGGAGAGGCCCCATGGGCCACCCAGTCCAACTTCCGCCATGCAGGAAAAGCACAATCAAAGCACCACCAGCAGATGGCCACCCAGCCTCAATATTATTATTATTAGTAGTAGTAGCAGCAATAATAATAATAATAATAATAATAATAATAATAATAATAATGGAGTTGGGAGAGGCCCCATGGGCCACCCAGTCCAACTTCCGCCATGCAGGAAAAGCACAATCAAAGCACCACCAGCAGATGGCCACCCAGCCTCAATATTATTATTAGTAGTAGCAGTACCAGCAATAATAATAATAATAATAATAATAATAATAATAATGGAGTTGGAAGAGACCCCATGGGCCATCCAGTCCAACTTCTACCATGCAGGAAAAGCACAATCAAAGCACACCCGACAGATGGCCACCCAGCCTCAATACTATTATTATTATTAGTAGTAGTAGTCTTAATAGAGTTGGAAGAGACCCCAGAAAATGCACAATCAAAGCACCGGAAGGCTGTTGGAGATTGTGGGAGTTGGTCTGGGCCCAAGTTGGCCTAGGCCTGCTTGAGAGAAGGGAAGGAAGGGGAGGGTGCTCACCCGAAGGTGCCTTGCCCGATCTTGGCCAGCTTCTCGTACTTGGAGACCTCGTCGCAGAAGGGACACTCCACAGTGTCGTACTGCTTGGCCATGGCGGAGCTGGCGACCCCGACCTCTTCTGGCTGCCGGCGGCTTCCGTCTGAGGGGCGTGCGGCTGCACTTCCGCCCGGCCTCGCCTCCATCCGGGTTGCCACTTCCGGTAAGCCGCTTCCGCCACCGCCGCCATGCACGCCGGGAGTCGTAGTTCGAAAAGGGGGCGGGGCTTGCGCGAGAGTCCGGAAGTGGGCGGCGAAATGAGCGGGAAGGATTGCAGCTGCTTCTCCTCTGGCCTGGCTGGCTCTCCCAAGTAACAACAACAACAATATTGTCGAAGGCTTTCATGGCTGGAATCACTAGGTTCTTGTGGGTTTTTTCGGGCTATAGAGCCATGTTCTGGAGGCATTTCTCCTGACGTTTCGCCTGCATCTATGGCAAGCATCCTCAGAGGTTGTGAGGTCTGTTGGAAGTAGGAAAAATGGGTTTATATATCTGTGGAATGGCTGGGGTGGGGCAAGGAGCTCTTCCTTGCTGCAGTTAGGTGTGAATGTTTAGCTGATCACCTTCATTAGCATTTGAAGACCTGCCTGAGCCTGGGAAAATCTGTTGCTGGGAGGTGTTAATCTGTGTCTGGTTTTTTCCTCTCTGTTGTTTAGCAGTTATAAAAAATGCTGGACCACACAAACAACCACCATGTCAGACTACACAGAGAAGCCATTGAAATCCACAAGCATGTGGACAATTTCAACAGAAAGGAAGAGACCATGAAAATGAACAAAATCTGGCTACCAGTATTAAAAAACTCTAAAATTACAACAGCAAAACAGCAGAGAGGAAAAAACCAGACACAGATTAACACCTCCCAGCAACAGATTTTCCCAGGCTCAGGCAGGCCTTCAAATGCTAATGAAGGTGATCAGCTAAACATTCACACCTAACTGCAGCAGGGAAAAGCTCCTTGCCCCACCCCAGCCATTCCACAGATATATAAACCCATTTTTCCTACTTCCAACAGACCTCACAACCTCTGAGGATGCTTGCCATAGATGCAGGCGAAACGTCAGGAGAAATGCCTCTAGAACATGGCTCTATAGCCCGAAAAAACCCACAAGAACCTAACAACAATATTGCAATGGTAGAAAACAACAACAATATTGCAATGATAGAAGGCAATCCTAACTAATAGTAATAGTACATATGTATATATAGGGATATTGATACCACTTTGAGGGAAAAGTATGGAGTACAAGGTTGCAAGTTCTCTCTCCACTTATCCAACCAGTCTTCAAAAGTTGGAATTTGCTCCTGTTTCCACAATTTCGCAAAGCTGATTCTTGCAGCCGTTGTTATGAATGTCAAAAGCTTGTCTTCATTTGCAGTAAGTTGTAGATCTAAGTCCGTAAAGCCTAAGAGATAATATTCAGGTTTCACTGGGAAAGACTGCTTAAAAAATTGTGTTGCTTCGTGAACTCGTGACCAGTACTTTGTAGTTACCTTACATGTCCACCACATGTGAAAAAAAGTGCCCACCTGGTCTCCACACTTCCAACATTTATCCGGAGTATTTTTATACAGCATTCTCTCCTGACATTTCGCCTGCATCTGTGGTCAATGGCATCCTTTGAGGTTCTGTTGTCAGTGAGGCAAGTGGAGAGTATATATGCTAATAATATTGTGTGTGTGTAGCCGTCCCCTGCCACACGTTGCTGTGGCCCACTCTTGTGGTCATGGGGGTTCTGTGTGGAAGGTTTGGTCCAATTCTATCATTGGTGGGGTTCGGAATGCTCTTTGATTGTAGGTGAACTACAAATCCCAGCAATTACAACTCCCAAATGTCAAGATTCTATTTTCCCTAAACATCACCAGTGTTCACATTTGGTCATATTGAGTTTTCGTGTAGAGTTTGGTCCAGATTCATCATTGTTTGAATCCACAGTGCTCTCTGGATGTAGGTGAACTACAACTCCAAAACCAAAGGACACTGCCCACCAAACCCTTTCAGTATTTTCTGTTGGTCATGGGAGAACTGTGTGCCAAGTTTGGTTCAATTCCATCATTGGTGGGGTTCAGAATGCTCTTTGATTGTAGGTGAACTATAAATCCCAGCAACTACAACTCTCAAATGACAAAAATCAATATTTTGAGTGAAGAACATACATTGAGTTGTTAGGTGTCTTGTGTCCAAATTTGATGTCAATTCGTCCAGTGGTTTTTGAGTTCTGTTAATCCCACGAACGAACATTGTTGTTGTTCATTCGTTCAGTCGTCTCCGACTCTTTGTGATCTCATGGACCAGCCCACGCCAGAGCTCCATGTCAGAGCATTACACTTTTATTTATATAGATATATATATCTTGTAAGCCTCTCTGAGTCCCCTTCGGGGTGAGAAGAGTGGCATATAAATGCCATAAATAAATAAATAAATAAAGGGTGGAGAGAAAGTGTGGATGTTGCAATTAGCCATCTTGATTAGCGCTTAATGGCCTTGCAGGTTCAAAATCTGGCTGGTTGCTTCCTGGGGGTATCCTTTGTTGGGAGGAGTTAGCTGGTGAACGGGTTGTTGTAGGTTTTTCAGGCTATATGGCCATGTTCTAGAACAGGGGTCCTCAAACTAAGGCCTGGGGCCCAGATACGGCCCTCCAAGGTCATTCACCCGGCCCTCGCTCAGGGTCAACCTAAGTCTGAAATGACTTGAAAGCACACAACAACAACAACAACAACAACAATCCTATCTCATCAACCAAAAGCAGACCTACACATCCCATTGAAATACTAATACGTTTATATTTGTTAAAATTGTTCTTCATTTTAATTACTGTATTGCATTTAAGTGGTTTTTGCCCTACAAATAAGATCTGTGCAGTGTGCATAGGAATTCATGTTTTTTGCAAATTATAATCTGCCCTCCAACAGTTTGAGGGACTGTGACGAGGCCCTCTGTTTAAAAAGTTTGTGGACCCCTGTTCTAGAAGCATTCTCTCCTGACGTTTCGCCTGCATCTATGGCAGGCACCCTCAGAGGTTGTGAGGTCTGTTGGAACKAGGAAATTTGRGTKKAYATWYCWSWGRWATRTMMACYCAAATTTCCTMGTTCCAACAGACCTCACAACCTCTGAGGGTGCCTGCCATAGATGCAGGCGAAACGTCAGGAGAGAATGCTTCTAGAACATGGCCATATAGCCCGAAAAACTTACAACAACCCAGTGATTCCAACCATGGAARCCTTCGACAATAGCTGGTGAATGTTGCAATTAGTATTGAGTGGCCTTGCAGTTGCTGAGTCAATCAGTGAGGGTATTTATTGGCTGTTGTTGCCTGGAGGCATCCTCTGTTTGTCTTTCTAGTTTTTTTGCAGAACCTTTATTATGTTTCGCACTGTTGAGTTGAGTTTCAACGTTTTTACCAATTTTAACATATTATCCACGAAATAAATTCCTTGAATTAAATAAAGATGGGTGCTGTCCCCTCCTGGACCTAACCGCTTCATATATTATTTCCAAAACATCATTGTTTACACTGCAGGTTTGCTTCCTTGCCCTTCAGCACAGACATATGCTATCCATTTCCCCCATATATTCCAAAAAACATTTAATTTCCAAATTATTTTTTAGTCTTATGTCAATTTATCGTTTATTGCTATATTCCATACTTCTTTGTACCAGTCTTCTATTATTATTATTGTTATTATTATTATTATTCTATCTGAAAATCATGTTTTTATTTCCAATTTTTCGCTATTATCAGCCTCACTGATGTTAGTAAATTGGAAATTAACTCCTTTGTTGTGTTGTCGAAGGCTTTCATGGCTGGAATCACTGGGTTGCTGTGAGTTTCCCGAGCTGCCTGGCTATGTTCCAGAAGCATTCTTTCCTGACGTTTCACCCACATCTATGGCAGGCATCCTCAGAGGTTGTGAGGTCTGTTGGAAACTAGGCAAGTGGGGTTTATAGATCTGGAATGTCCAGGGTGGGAGTAAGTGCTCTTGTATGCTTGAGGCAAGTGTGAATGTTCTCATTGACCACCTTGATTAGCATGGAATGGCCTTGCAGCTTGAAAGCTTGGCTGGCTTCATGTCAGGGGAATTCCTGACATGAAATAATTGGGGTCAGCTAACACCTCCCAACAAAGGATCCCCCAGTCAGCAACCAGCTAAGCTTTGAAGCTGCATGGGCATTCAATGCTAATCAAGGTGGCCAATTGCCTCCAAGAGACAAGAGTTCTTTCTCCCACCCTGGACATTCCACAGATTCTGGAGATTCTAGTTTCCCGAAACATGCAGCCCAAAACACTCACAGCAACCCAGTGATTCAGGCCATGAAAGCACAAACTCCTTGAATAAGTAATAGCAAAGGGATCCCTATGAGAAGGCCACCTTAAGCAGAAGTCAGCATGATGGTACACAACAACAAGGACACATGCCTTGGGATGTATTTTTCCATGGGGAAATGGTTGCGCAGCTCCTGTTCCATCCCGCAGGGGCACTGGGGGCGGAGTGACCTTTGCGCTCCTGGTGCTCCACTCTGCTCTTTGGCTGAGTCGCTTCCTTGCTTCCTTTCTCCCCAGGCTGATGTTTTCTCCCTTTTTAGTAGGATCTTTCATCAGATAAGAGGCCTAACAATGGCTCCATTTGAAGGCTGGCGGACCCTGTCCAGTTTCAAGGGGCTATTTAGTTTCCACAGAGCTTGAAATGACAGTCATGGGTCCGTTATGTGTCTTTCTTTAGTGGCAATCAGTCCTCCAACTTAAGCTACTAAGGGAGAAAAGGAAGGGGCCTGGGGCTGTTAGGAATTGTGGGAATTCCAATACATCTGGAGGGAAGGTCAAAGTTTGCCCATGCCTGGCATATCCAAAACTTATGTATTAGATACAATTTACTAATTACTAATAACTTCTTATATTGTGTATATGAAATTGATGGTTTAATCTGTAGATTCAGAGAGTGCAGATACAGGGAACCCAGTGTATGTAATTCAATTTGGAAAAAGGAAGAAAAAAATACATCCAGTATACACAACAAGAGAACTCAGGCTTAGCTTCTCACTCTAACGTAGTGTTGCCTGAACTGACTTTAAGGTAAACAACTTGTTGTTTAATAGACACCCATGAAATCGTTGTTTCCTGTGAATTTCCCATGTAATCTCTCTGAACGACACAATCTATTTTTGGCTCTAATTTGTAGACAAGCCCCCACATTGGCAGTCTTTAGGAGGAGCCTGAAAACGTGGCTGTTCCAGTGTGCCTTCCCTGAATAAAGGAAACAATCCCCTGCAAATACTCTGAGAAGCACTTTAATTACCCGTTGGGTTGCTCTTTACTTTTGATTTAAAACCCTCTTACTAGATACATCCTCTGTTCATGTCCAGCATTTATTTTGAAAGTTTTAACTATTACATCTGGCCCAGCCATAGGTTTTTAAATTCTTGTGTGTTCTTGTCTACTTGTGAGTTATATTAATTTATTGTTTATTTTGTTTATTGCTTGTTGTTTTTATTATTGTTTGTTGTTTTTGATGTGTTGTTGGGTTTGGCCTCATGTAAACGGCTCCGAGTCCCTTGAGGAGATGGTGGCGGGATATAAGTAAAGTTTATTATTATTATTATTATTATTATTATTATTATTATTAAAAAAAGACTTTTGTTGATCTCCCTAGCTATAGGTGGATTCCCATGGGAACCCTCCTTATCACTCAGTTCTTCAGAGCCCCCGGTGGCACAGTGGGTTAAACCGCTGTGCCGGCAGGACTGAAGACCGACAGGTCGCAGGTTCGAATCCGGGGATAGGCGGATGAGCTCCCTCTGTCAGCTCCAGCTCTTCATGCAGGGACATGAGAGAAGCCTCCCACAAGGATGATAAAAACATCAAAATAATCCGGGTGTCCCTTGGGCAATGTCCTTGCAGACGGCCAATTCTCTCACACCAGCAGTGACTTGCAGTTTCTCAAGTCACTCCTGACACGACAAAAAAAAAACCTCAGTTCTTCACTGATTCCTTATTTGCTGTTGCTTCTTCTGGCTCCCCTGACTGCCCTTGAGGCCCTGCACTTTCCACCTTCTTACTGAGAGAACCATAATTTCTCAGACCTGAATTTCCCAGACTTGAGAGCCCATCACTTTGTATTACAGGGAAGCTCACAATCCTCTCTAAACTATCAGTTAAGCCATCAGCCTCTGGTGGCTGATCTACAACAACATGGCTGAAGCAAGACTCACAATGAGAGATGCGACTGATAGGAACAAGTGGAGAACAAGAAACAAAGAAGCAGACCCTGCAAATTGGTGGGACAAACACTAGGAATTATTATTATTATTATTTATTTATTTATTTATTTATTTATTTACATCACTCCTACCCCGCCCTTCTCACCCCCCAGGGGGGGAACTCAGGGTGGCTTATATGCCATAATATCAATACAACAACATAAAATCAAATACATAAAAAATTAATAACATTAATTAAAATCACATAGTCATATACTAACATAGTCGCCTAATCAAAATCACATATCCGTTTACTATTGTCATAATCCTGTGATCCAAGTGCTAAGTGCTGCTAAGACCACTAGCTGAAAGCCTGACTCCAAAACCACAACTTTAGTTTTTTCCTAAAAGTGAGGAGGGAGGACGCCGATCTAATCTCATTGGGGAGCAAATTCCACAAGCGAGGGGCCGCCACTGAGAAGGCCCTGTCCCTCGTCCCCACCAGACGCGTTTGTGACGCCGGTGGGACCAAAAGCAGAGCCTCCCCAGTAGATCTTAAATTACGAGGTGGAACATAGAGAGAGATACGTTCGGATAAGTAAGCTTGGCCGAAGCCGTATAGGATTTTATAGGCCAAGACCAGCACTTTGAATTGTGCTTGGAGATGGACCGGCAGCCAGTGGAGTTGACGCAGCAGGGGGGTGGTACGCTCCCTGTATGGCGCTCCGGTGAGTAATCTGGCTGCTGCCGGTTGGACTAATTGAAGTCTCCGAACAGTCTTCAAAGGCAACCCCACGTAGAGTGCATTGCAGTAATCTATTCGGGATGTAACCAGAGCAGTAATCGTTGCAGTAATCTATTCGGGATTACTGTTCAGGATAAGTACGTTGCAGTAATCTATTTGGGATGTAACCGGGATGTAGGAAGAAGAGGAGGAGGAGAAGGAGGACGAGGGAAAGGAGGTAAATGAACCAGGAGTTTGAGATTTTTTTATTTTGGGGTTTTAGCTCCCAGAATCCCCCATTACAAGAAAAATAATTTTGGCAGAATCCGCGATGGACCACTGACGTCTTACACCCAAAGGAGCAAGTGTTGGGAAAGGGCACGCAGAAGCATCGTGTGCCTTTTTTTTCTTTCCTCCTTTCTTGAGTTTCATTCTCTCTTTTTTTAAAAAAAAAAAGGATCAAAGCAAACGCAGAGACTTGGGTTGTGCAAGTGCAGAGGAAATGTGAGCAAAACAGAAAGCGAGAAAGGGCGGGGGGAGAGGGTGGGAAAGGAAGGCAGGCTCGGTGCCAAGAGGGCTTGATGAAAGTTGTAAGCCTGGTGCACATTTCTTCTCCTTCGTCGGAACCCAAACCATGGCCGAAAGCCAGAAGAGGGGAGGAGGCTTCAAAAGTAAGTGAACACATCGCAGGACACCGATTTGCTCACTCTGGCCTTGGCTGGAACACAGGTCTGCGTTACATCTCTATAGAGTAATGGCATCTGTGGGAAAGAGGAAAGTCTCTCCTGGACTGTGAGGAGGTTGCCAAGGTCTTTTCTGGCAAACAAACCAGTCAAATGTGGGCTAGGCAAAACTATGGTTAGGTGGATCTGTAATTGGTTAAGCCAGTGTTCCTCAACCTTCCTAATGCCGCGACCCCTTAATACAGTTCCTCATGTGGTGGTGACCCCCAACCATAACATCATTTTTGTTGCTACTTCATAACTGTAATTTTGCTACTGTTATGAATCGTAATGTAAATATCTGATATGCAAGATGTATCTTCATTCATTGGACCAAATTTGGCACAAATTTGAATACTGGTGGGTTCGGTGTGGGGTGTGTGTGCATGTTGTCATTTGGGAGTTGTAGTTGCTGGGATTTAAATTTCACCTACAATTAAAGAGCATTCTGAACTCCACCAAGGATGGAGTTGAACCAAACTTGGCACACAGAACTCCCACGACCAACAGAAAATACTGGAAGGGTTTGGTGGGTGGGCATTGACCTTGAATTTTGGAGTTGTAGTTCACCTACAGCCAGAGAGCATTGTGGATTCAAACAAGGATGGATCTGGACCAAACTTGACATGGATACTCAGTATGCCCAAATATGAACACTGGTGGAGTTTGGGGAAAATAGACCTTGGTATTTGGGAGATGTAGTGGCTGGGATTTATAGTTCACCTACAATCAAAGAGCATCCTGAACCCCACCAATGATAGAATTGGGCCAAACTTCCCACATAGAACCCCCATGACCGACAGAAAATACTGTATTTTCTGATGGTCTTTGGCGACCCCTCTTGCGACCCCCCCAGGGGTCCCGACCCCTAGGTTAAAAAACGCTGGGTTAAGCAAACGAACTAAGAGGATGATTATCCCCAGTGCTTCCTCTTCACCCTGGAAAGAAGTGACGAGCGGAGTGCCATCAGCAGGGTTTTGTCCTAGGCCCGGTCCTGTTCAGGATCTCTATTAATGACTTAGATGAAGGGTTAGAAGGCATGATCATCAAGTTTGCAGATGACACCAAATTGAGAGGAAGAGCCAACACTCCAGAAGACAGGAGCAGAATTCAAAATGATCTTAATAAATTAAAGAGATGGGCTAATACTAATTCAATGAAGTTCAACAGTAACAAATGCAAAATACTCCACTTAAGCAGGGAAAATTAAATGCAAAGATACAGAATGGGGGACGCCTTGCTCGAGAGATCTTGGAGTCCGAGGGGGGAGAAAGGAACATGAGCCAACAATGTGATGTGGCGGCAAAAAAAGCCAACTGGATTTTGGCCTTTATAGTGTCCAAATTCAGAGAAGTCATGCTACCCATTCTCTATTCTGCCATGGTTAGACCACATCTGGAATACCGTGTCCAATTCTGGGTACCACAATTGAATGGAGATGTTGACAAGCTGGAATGTGTCCAGAGGAGGACAATTAAAATGATCAAGGGTCTGGAGAACAAGCCCTATGAGGAGCGGCTTAAAAAGCTGGACATGTTTAGCCTGAAGAAGAGAAGGCTTTGAGACATGTATAAGTATGTGAGAGGAAGTCATAGGGAGGAGGGAACAAGCTTATTTTCTGCTGCGCTGGAGACTACGACGCAATGGAGCAATGGCTTTAAACTACAAGAAAGGAGATTCCACCTGAACACGTAGAAGAACTTTCTGACTGTGAGAGCTGTTCAGCAATGGAACTCTCTGCCCCGGAGTGTGGTGGAAGCTCCTTCTTTGGAAGCTTTTAAACAGAGCCTGGATGGCCATCTGTCAGAGGTGCTTTGAATGCTATTTTCCTGCTTCTTGGCAGAATGGGTTGGACTGGATGGCCCACGAGGTCTCTTCCAACTCTATGCTTTTAGGTCTCATAGGCTTTTGACAGGTGTGTGATGCATGGACAAGGAGGACCTTCCTTCTCAGATAGACACACATATTAGGGGCCATTCTACTTGTGAAATTACCATCCAGAATGAAGCTGGACCCTCATCTAAGACAGGTGTTCCTTTAGTGACCCAAATCCCCTTCTCAGAAATGATACCTGGTTTTGCAATGATGGTGTCGCAGTGAGCCAAAGAACCTTACTTACTTACTTACTTAGGCGATCCTTCAGAGTCTGAGGATGATGATCCTCCAAGTGTAGTATCCTGTGGGTGGGTCCGTAGGTGACTTTGGAGCCCTATTCTTGACCTACATTTTCTCCCGCAGTGAGGGCATCGGTTTCCAGGTGGGAGGTGGTCCCGGTCGGGGTTGGCTTGACGCGCCTTCCTCTTGGCACGTTTCTCTCTTTCGCCCTCCATTTGTGCCTCTTCAAATTCTGCAGCACTGCTGGTCACAGCTGACCGCCAACTGGAGCGCTCAAGGGCCAGGGCTTCCCAGTTCTCAGTGTCTATGCCAGAGTTTTTAAGGTTGGCTTTGAGCCCATCTGTAAATCTCTTTTCCTATCCTCCGACATTCCGGTTTCCGTTCTTGAATTCGGAGTAGAGCAACTGCTTAGGGAGACTGTGGTCAGGCATCAGGACAACATGGCCAGTCCAGCAGAGTTGATGGCGGAGGACCATTGCTTCAATGCTGGTGGTCTTTGCTTCTTCCAGCACACTGACATTTGTCCGCTTGTCTACCCAAGAGATTTGCAGGATTTTCCGGAAGCAGCGCTGATGAAATTGTTCCAGGAGTTGCGTGTGACATCTGGAGACTGTCCACGTTTTGCAGGCATATAGCAGGGTTGGGAGGACAATAGCTTTATAAACAAGCACCTTGGTATCCTTATGGGTGTCCCGGTCCTCAAACACTCTCTACTTCATTCGGAAAAAGGTTGCACTCGCAGAGCTCAGGCGGTGTTGAATTTGACTTTTGTGGAGAGGTGGCTTCCAAGGTAGCGGAATTGGTCAACATTTTCTAATGTTACACCATTAAGTTGTATTTCTGGCATTGGAGAGGGATTGGCCGGTGACTGCTGGAAGAGCACTTCGCTTTTCTCGATGTTCAACGACAGGCTGAGCTTCTCGTATACTTCTGCGAAGGTGTTTAGAGTGGCTTGTAGATCTTCTTCTGAATGCGCACAGATGACATTGTCATCAGCATACTGGAGTTCTATAACAGATGTGTTGTAACCTTGGTTTTGGCTTGCTGAGGTTAAACAGCTTGCCATCTGTCCAATAGATGATTTCCATTCCGGTGGGAAGCTTCCCTTCAACAAGATGAAGTATCATAGCAATGAAGATGGAAAATAAGGTTGGGGCAATTATACATCCCTGTTTAAGGCAAAGAACCAACCCAATGAGGTTGGGAGGCTTGATGGGCCTCCATAATGGAAATGGATGAGTTGCATCGGGCATGCGGTGCTTGCTGCTTGCTAACAGCGATCAGAGCACTTTGTCACCTCAATGTCCAATGTCCTCCAGCACTGGAAATACAGTTGCCATCATGAGGCCCAATTATTACAGTGCTTTGCAATACCTTATTTGTGGGAGTGTCAGCGAGTCTTCTGCTTGAAATCATTCTTTACATGAAATCCATGTTTGATTTAGAGATGCAGAGACATAGAAAGGGAGAGCAGCATGGGCCTTAGAGTCACCCATCATCCACAGGTAGCATCGGCTGAGCAGCAGAGGGAGGTAAATTCGAGAGTAATTTTCTGACTTTGGTGCTTAGCTTTCAAGATGAGGAAAAATCTTTAGTCCCTTTAGTTGCGCTCCACCCCAGAGGAGTGAGGACATACTACTTGGCTATTTTTAGACAGATCACTTCTAAATACGTATAATTTCACATATGCAAACTTCCTGAAAACGCGTATCCTCTTTTTTGAGCTGCTGAGTAAGCAAGCAGCCTACAAACTTGTAAATAAAAGCTTTTTCAGCCCAACATTTGAGGGCATGGGCAAACTTTGGCCCTCCCTCCAGGTGTTTTGGACTCCCAACTCCCACAATTCCTAACCATCAGTAGCTGTTAGGAATTGTGGGAGTTGTAGTCCAAAACACCTGGAGGGAAGGCTGAAGTTGGCCCATGCCTTTGTTCTCTTGGAACTGGACACTTAAGTCAATCAAGGGATCATCTGCATATCCACATTGTGGGAGCTGGAGTCCAAAACACCTGGAGGGAGAGCCAAATTGGCCCATGACTTTGTCCTCGTGGAACTGGACACTTAAGTCAATCAAGGGATTGATGTCAGGCACCACCCCCTCCCCCCCTCATAATTAAGGGATAAGGATTTATAGTTCTGCAAAGGGCAAGGGCACAAGACTATACAACAAGGGTTAAGTCTTGGTCACATTGCCAAGGCACTGACAACAACAAGGACCCCACGAGGCTTTTTTGGGAAATGGCTGGAGCTTGGGACTTCTGCCCTTTTGTGAGAGTTGTAGTTCCCCAGGGGCTGAGAGGTGGACTCTGTTATTGATCAACTCAGCGCCCATCTGCTGATCCCAGCCTGAAACCATGACTCTCTGCTGCGTGGACTGGACTGTTTGCCACAACCCTGGCCATGAGCTTTCTATCAATGCTTGATTTGAACTGCTAGCAACCTCCGTTTCCACACGCCCTTCCTAAGAGCATGGGATTTCTAGTTTGTGTTATAATAAAGATCAAATATTGCAATAAAACTTATTGGGATATGGGCTGGGGATGGGGTTTCCCTTATGAACTGTGTATAAGAAAATATTGTATGAAATGTAATGTGTCCCCCTGCCTTCCCTAGTGACTTTTACCCTACAAAAAGTGACCAGAAATTGTTGCGATGCTCGGGGGAAATTCTCTGCTTCCCCCGAAACTCATCCTTGATTGACTCATTGCATGAAACAATACCTGTTGATTCCCTCGTCCTGCCTTCTGAGCCTGTCTAGTGGGAAGAGGAAGTCAACAGAAACTTGGAAAAAAGAATTGATTAAATTCACAAAGGCAGCGTTGATCCCTTTTGAGGTCCACTGTCTGGCCAAATATTTGCTTCCCCCCAAAGCCATTTCCAACAGGAAAACTTTTGTTTACAAAGATCACACCTTGCCAGCCGAGGACAAAGCCTCACATTCCTGCTGGCTGACAACTCCTGAGCCCATCATTTCCTTCCCATTGTCTTTGAACATCCCGCCTCCGGGTTTCTGATTCGTCCATCCTCAGAAGTGGCAGGAGAGTGCTGATGGACCTCCCAGGGGCGACGGAGCTTGCTGATTGGCTCAGGGGCGGGCCGGGAAGCCAAGCCTCCTCCCAGCTGTCCCAGCCCCAGCCAATCAGCATGAAGCCGGCCGGCAGAGGGCGGGCGGGAATTTCAAACTGTTTTCCTTTGTATTTTTGCTATAAATACGCCTGTATTCTTTGTATTGCTATGCTTGCGGTGGAATGATTCCTGCAATGCATCCGATATCAGCTGAATCGCTAATAAACGCCTCGGTCGCTCGAAAAACCTTCTTCCATTTTGATGAGGTTTTATTATTTTCAATATTTTAATCATTTGAGATTGGCTTCGCTGGCCTCACCAAGGTATCCAGGGCCCTTTTGGCGCGGTCCTCGGGCTCTCCTCTCTTGAGGAGACCCTGGTAAAAGTAGCTCGATATCAGGATCATCTGCATACCCACGTTGTGGGAACTGGAGTCCAAAACACCTAGAGGGCAGGCTGAAGTTGGCCCATGCCTTTGTCCTCTTGGCACTGGACACAATTAATTTGACTCCTTTATCTCACCCTGAGTTTTTAAATCATTTTATGTACATGCGGCCCGCTCGCTGTTATTATGTTTGGTTTACTGCTTTAAATTTTTTTTAAATATTTTGTTTATTGTATTCGTATGTTTTGTACTTTACTGCCATGTTGTTTATTTTATTGTAACTTGTATCTTATTTTATTGTATTTTGTTGTTTGGGCTTGGCCTCATGTAAGCCGCCCCGCGTCCCCATTGGGGGAGATAGTGGCGGGGTGTAAATAAAGTTTATTATTATTATTATTATTATTATTATTATTATTATTATTATTAGCCATCCCCTGCCATGCGTTGCTGTGGCCCACATGGGGGTTCTGTGTGGGAGGTTTGGCCCAATTCTATCGTTGGTGGAGTTAAGAATGTTCTGTAATTGTAGGTGAACTGTAAATCCCAGCAACTACAACTCCCAAATGTCAAGATTCTATTTTCCCCAAACTCCACCAGTGTTCACATTTGGGCATATTGAGTATTCGTGTAGAGTTTGGTCCAGATCCATCATTGTTTGAGTCCACAGTGATCTCTGGATGTAGGTGAACTACAACTCCAAAACCAAAGGACACTGCCCACCAAACCCTTCAGTATTTTCTGTTGGTCATGGGAGAACTGTGTACCAAATTTGGTTCAATTCCATCGTTGGTGGGGTTCAGAATGCTCTTTGATTGTAGGTGAATTATAAATCCCAGCAACTACAACTCCCGAATGTCAAGATTTCTATTTTCCCCAAACTCTACCAGTGTTCACATTTAGGCATATTGAGTATTTGTGTAGAGTTTGGTCCAGATCCATCATTATTTTAGTCTACAGTGATCTCTGGATGTAGATGAACTACAACTCCAATACCAAAGGACACTGCCCATCAAACCCTTCCAATATTTTATGTTGGTCATGGGAGAACTGGGTGCCAAGTTTGGTTCAATTCCATCGTTGGTGGGGTTCAGAATGCTCTTTGATTGTAGGTGAACTATAAATCCCAGCAACTACAACTCCCAAATGTCAAGATTCTATTTTCCCCAAACTCTACCAGTGTTCACATTTGGACATATTGAGTATTCATGGAGAGTTTGGTCCAGATCCATCATTGTTTGTGTCCACAGTGATCTCTGGATGTAGGAGACCTACAACTCCAAAACGAAAGGACACTGCCCACCAAACCCTTCCAGTATTTTCTGTTGGTCATGGGAGAATTGTATGCCAAGTTTGGCCCAATTCCATCATTAGTGGAGTTCATCATGCTCTTTGATTGTAGGTTAACTATAAATCCGAACAACAACAAGGACATACATTGGGTTGTGAGGTGTCTTGTGTCCAAATTTGGTGCCAATTCATCCAGTGATTTTTGAGTTCTGTTAATCCCACAAATGAACATTACATTTTTATTTATATAGATTATTATTATTATCATCTGCATATCCACGTTGTGGGAACTGGAGTCCAAAACACTTGGAGGGAGGGCCAAAGTTGGCCCATGCCTGGGATAACATTATAGACTCCCTGATCTTTTGTTTCTTTCTTCGCCAGAGTTCTTCAAAGGGTTTGGAAGCCTCTCCAGCCTTCCTCGGGTCTTTGCTTTCCGCCGCATCTCCGTGCCACCCGGTGCCCCACAGAGCCACAGAGGGGGACACTTTTCTCCAAACGGCTTCTTGGCGCCCACCATTGAAAGCACCCAGGATGACTTGGACACGGTGCCCAAAAGCCCTTTGCCTTATGCCCGCTCGTGTGACATGTACAGCCACATGGGGACCATGCCCAGGACTGGGAAGAAGGCTGGGAAGAAGGCCAAAAGGACCGAGGAAGGAAAGCGTCAAGAAGTTGGACTACCCCCTGTGGCCTTGGAACCACGTGCGTCAGCCCCCCAAAAAGAGGGGAAAGAGTTGCATTTGGTGTTGCCCTGCAATGTTGTCCAGAGCCCAGATGGTCCCCAAACTTTGGAGCCCTCTGTGAGGAATAGTGCTTCTCAATGTTTCCCTGAGTCCACGCAGACTATTGTAGGACGTACGGAAAAACCAAAGAGGGATACGCATATTACGCGGGATCCTCTTCCACCTCTGGAGAAACCCGCCATCGAAAATGTGCAGGATGACATGCATGCCGTAACCAGAAGCCCGCCACCTCCATATGCTCGCTCGTGTGACATGTACAGCCACATGGGGACCTTGCCCAGAGCCAAATCTGGGGCCAAAGAAGCCAAAGGAGAAGTGACAAGGCCAAAGCCAGATTCGGTGCTCTCTGGCGGGACTGCTATCCAGGAATTCATCCTCCACACAGGACGTTTCATTAGTTCTGGAGARAACRTGGCTGAAGAGAAGGTTGTTCCTACGCAGCTGGATGAAAGGTAAGACTCAGTGGTGCGATATTCAAAACAATTGTAACAAATTAGAGAGATGGGCCAAAACTAACAAAATGAAGTTCAACAGTGACAAATGCAAGATACTCCACTTAGGCAGCAAACATGAAATGTAAAGATACAGAATGGGGAACACCTGGCTTGAGAGCAGTAYGTGTGAAAAAGATCTTGGCGTCCTCGTGGACAAGTTAAACATAAGCCAACAATGTGATGCAGCGGCAAAAAAAGCCAATGGGATTGTATTTATTGGAATGTTTATTTTATGATTTTTTTTCTTTTAATGTCATTTTGATAATGTTGTTGTTTGTTGTATATGCTTTGATTTTATTGCTGTATTTTGTTGTTCGGGCTTGGCTTGCTCCCATGTAAGCCGCTCCGAGTCCCCATCGGGGAGATGGTGGCGGGGTAGAAATAAAGATTATTATTATTATTATTATTATTATTATTATCCTTCATCAATAGGAGTATAGTGTCTAGATCCAGGGAAGTCATGCTACCCCTCTATTCTGCCTTGGTTCGACCACATCTGGAATATTGTGTCCAGTTCTGGGCACCACAATTGAAGGGAGATGTTGACAAGCTGGAATGTGTCCAGAGGAGGGCAACTAAAATGATCAAGGGTCTGGAGAACAAGCCCTATGAGGAGCGGCTTAAAGAGCTGGGCATGTTTAGCCTGAAGAAGAGAAGGCTGAGAGGAGACATGATAGCCATGTATAAATATGTGAGAGGAAGTCACAGGGAGGAAGGAGCAAGCTCCCTCCTTCTGATGCCCTGGAGACTAGGACGCAATGGAGCAATGGCTTCCAACTACAAGAAATGAGATTCCACCTGAATATTAGGAAGAACTTCCTGATTGTGAGAGCCGTTCAGCAGTGGAACTCTTGCCCTGGAGTGTGATAGAGGCTCCTTCTTTGGAGACTTTTAAGCAGAGGCTGGATGGCCATCTGTCAGGGGTGCTTTGAATGCAAATTTCCTGCTTCTTGGCAGAATGGGGTTGGACTGGATGGCCCATGAGGTCTCTTCCAACTCTATGATAGTACATTTTGAAGGGCAGGCATTTGTCCTGAGTTTGCCCAGTGTCACCTATACATACAGCAATGCAATCCAAATAAACTAGGGGTGAACATATGCTGCCCAAGGGACACCAAAGAGAAGCCCCGGTTGTCTGGTCTCATGAGCATTTTGGTTGCACAATGGCAAATCTGGTAATATGTGGCCTCTGTTGCCTTTGAAAGACAACTGGAGTGTTTTGTTTGCAGTTTGCTGTGGAAGAAGAAAGGCACGTCACCTCTGTAGTCAGATTGCTCAGTGTTTTGTCACTTCTTCCACTTCCTGTCAAAAGCTTCCGCAGGTTTTGTCACCTACCTCGAAACATGGATGTTGTTCTCAAGTTAGCCTGGCCTCTGTTGCCTGGAGGCACCCCCTGTTTGGGGGGTATTAACTGGACATTTGATTGTTTGCTGTCTGGACTTCACTAGTTTCTGAGTGGTGTAAAAATGTGAAATATAAATCTGTGAAAGGGTGTCATAAGGGACAGGGAACAGGCTTGTTTTCAGCTGCCCTGGAAACTAGGACTCAGAGCAATGAGTACAAACGACAGGAAAGGGGATTCCACCTGAACATTAGGACGGTAAGAAGAGCTGTCCAACAGTGGAATGTTCTGCTTCGGAGTCTGGTGGAATCTCCTTCTTTGGAGGCTTTTAAACAGAGGCTGGATGGCCATCTGTCGGGGGTGCTTTGATTGTGCTTTTCCTGCATGAAAGAAGGGGGTTGGACTGGATGGCCCACTGGGGTCTCTTCCGTCTCTATTATTCTGTGATTTTCTGATAAGGATGCGACTGTCGCCTCCCTCCCTTTCCCATCCATTGGGATGCGCAACCCCTTCCAAACAGGCACACTCCATCAATGTTTGTTTTCTCAGGCGGTTCATGTTATGGAAGTAGAGCCGAGCTGCCTGGAGATGCCAGGGCCATGGTAAAAAGCAAGGAATTTTGCTCAGCTCTGGGCCTCTGCTTGGTTTCGCATTCCAGGAAAGGAAGGAAGGAGGGAGGGACCCGGCTTTGGGGAGGAGAGACAGAGACCAAGAGGAGGGACTCCCATGTCCAGTCCAGCCTTTCCCAAGTTCAACAGGCAAAGCATTGAGAGAAAGGAAGAGGAGAAGAGAGAAGGGACCTGAGCAGCGGAGAGGGGCGAGAGAGAGAGAGATGATGACAGAGGTGGACAGGAGGTACCACAGCTTGGACCATGCCAGGTAAGATGGGCAAAGCCTCCACAGAAGGAGAGGGAGCCAGGAGAACATCCGCAAACAGCCTCAGGAACAGTTATTTTTCCTGAGTACAGCCATCCCCATAATCCTGTGAAGGATTCTGGGAGTTGCAGTTTTTGAAAAGTAACTTTTGCAAGTCCTGCAGCTCAAAGACAGTTGGTCTCCGTAAGTCAATGGTTTGCACCTTAACATCTGGAAGGAACTTCTGAAGGGTTTCCAAGCACCCTTCTACACTGCCATATAAGATCCAGATTATCTGCTTTGGACTGGATTACATGGCAGTGTAGACTCATATAATCCAGTTCTAATGTGAGCGAAGTAGATAGATGCTTTTGAACTGTGGTGCTGGAGGAAAGTTCTGAGAGTGCCTTGGACTGCCAGAAGATCCAACCAGTCCATAGACTGCTCATTGGAGGGAAGAATAGTAGAGGCCACATCATGAGAAGGAAGGAAAGCTTAGAGAAGAGTATTATGCTGGGGAAAATGGAAGGAAAAAGGAAGAGGGGCCGACAAGGGCAAGATGGATGGAGGGCATCCTTGAAGTGACTGGATTGACCTTGAAGGAGCTGGGGGTGGCGACGGCCGACAGGGAGCTCTGGCGTGGGCTGGTCCATGAGGTCACGAAGAGTCGGAAACGACTGAACGAATGAACAACAAACAACAGCAATGTGGAGTATCTGATTTTCTAATCTGGATTATATGGGAGTGTAGAAGGTGTTGGTGTAAACTCCCCAAAAATACAGCAGAGCATCCAAAAATACAAACAGGATACTTGTCCAGCAGACAAGAGTTCTTTCTCCCACCCTGGATTATATGGCAGTGTAGACTCATATAATCCAGTTCTAATATGGATTATCTGATTTACTAATCTGGACTATATATGGGAGTGTAGAAGGTGTTGGTGTAAACTCCCAAAAAATACAACAGAGCATCCAAAAATACAAACAGGATACTTGCCCAACAGATAAGAGTTCTTTCTCCCACCCTGGATTATATGGCAATGTAGACTCATATAATCCAGTTCTAATGTGAATTATCTGATTTTCTAATCTCGATTATATGGTAGTGTAGGAAAAACTCCCAAAAAATACACCTGAGCATCCAAAAATACAAGCAGGATACTTGCCCAACATACAAGAGTTCTTTCTCCCACCCTGGATTATATGGCAGTGTAGACTCATATAATCCAGTTCTAATGTGGATTATCTGATTTACTAATCTGGATTATATGGCAGTGTAGAAGGTGTTGGTGTAAACTCCCAAAAAATACAGCAGAGCATCCAAAAATACAAGCAGGATACTTGCCCAACAGACAAGAGTCCTTTCTCCCACGCTGGATTATATGGCAGTGTAGACTCATATAATCCAGTTCTAATGTGGATTATCTGATTTCTAATCTGAATTATATGGCAGTGTAGAAGGTGTTAGGGAAAACTCCCAAAAATACAGCAGAGCATCCAAAAATGCAAACAGGATACTTGTCCAGCAGACAAGAGTTCTTTCTCCCACCCTGGATTATATGGCAGTGTAGACTCATATAATCCAGTTCTAATGTGGATTATCTGATTTCTGATCTGAATTATATGGCAGTGTAGAAGGTGTTAGGGAAAACTCCCAAAAATACAGCAGAGCATCCAAAAATACAAACAGGATACTTATAGTTGAGCATTCAGCTCACAACGAGCAGAGCGTGAAGTGTTGAAGGATCTTTTCACCACATGACTCAGAGATGCTGAGGGTTGAACTTGGGTCCTTCTGAATGCAAAATAAGGGATCTCCCTATTGCTGAACTATACCTTTCTTTGCCTGACTTCCTAGCATGCCTGGAAACCACCCATTCCGCATCCGGAGTAAGGGAAAGAGAGGTGAATGAGCTGTGCTATAATCATTGCGAGTTCATCAGATGCAGTTCAGGAAATGAGTCTCAGCCTTTTGTTTTCCACAGCGAAAGGAAGTGACGAGTGATACAACTCAAAGAGGGCTTTGGAAAGACCGGTTACTTGAAGGCACACATACAGTGTTCCCTCGCTACTTGGCGGTTTGCTTTTCGTGGACTTGCTATTTCACGGGTTTTTTCCTCCTGGCAACAATGCAGTATGGAAGGGGGTTTCACTCCCCCCCTCGGGAGACAGGCAGACAGAATGCTCTTTGATTGTAGGTGAACTATAAATCCCAGCAACGATAACTCCCGAATGTCAAGATTCTATTTTCCCCAAACTCTACGAGTGTTCACATTTGGACATATTGAGTATTCGTGTAGAGTTTGGTCTAGATCCATCATTGTTTGAGTCCACAGTGATCTCCTAAAGCAACCCTATCCCAGGATTCTATTGACAAGATTAGCCTCCTTGCACCAGGTCACAAAGTCGTACTATATTTTATCACTGGTGGGGTTCACAATGCTCTTTGATTGTAGGTGAACTATATATCCCAGCAACAATACTTTTTAAAAGGTCGTAGAGTGATGTAGGGGGTGTTTAGAATGGATTGGGAGGAGCTGGCCTTCTGTGGTGCCATGAACCAAAGCACAGTGTTTTCCAATCATAAAAATAGTAATAAATATGATGAGGAGAGGACACATCCCATCTCAATACAATAGGCACCCAGTCCTAAAGAAATATGGGGTGCATACTAATATAGATGGATTTTATCCTTACCGCAGTGCTATGGTGGTGCAATGAGTTAAATCATTGAGCTGCTAAACTACCAACCTAAACATTAG